AGTCATGCAGCCCGCACGTCCTGCCAGGACCATTCAGCACTTGTTACTTCAAACAAGCCCAGAGCACAGGGAAATGTAGATTCTCAAAAAGATAAATAACAAGGGTGATGCTTCTTTTTTGGGTGAATTCCTTTGACTCGGTGTTTCTCCAAGTAGCTCAATGACCACCCACTCTGGAAAACCTGGGGTACTAATTTAAAATGCACACTCCTGGATTTGCCCCAAACCTTGTGGCCAAGGAATTGGTTTTAATTGATTAAGATTCTCTTTACGCCCAGCTCTTCCAGGTACATACTGTTCGTAAAACCAGGTGATTACACCAGGTGATGTGGAATGTCGGTGTAAGTCAACTGGGGTCTACTCACAGTGCTTTGGGGGCCTGGAAAGGCGTGGTGTCGGGTGGGATAAGCCTGTTTCCAGATCCTGGCTGTGGCCCTTCCTAGCTCATGAACTTAGGCAAGTCATCATTTCCCAATAGACTTCCTCCTCACCAAAGCTCTGTGAGGAAGCTATTCTTATTAGCCCCATTTTACAGATGAGATACTGACCCTCAAAAAGGTCAAGTCCAAGGTCACATAGCTAGTAAATGGCAGAGCTGGGGTTCAAGCTCAGGTCTGTCTGATTCTGTTCCTTTACCTCTACCCAGTTTCTCAAAGTGAGACCCCAGGATGCCCTGCATCAGGGGAGTTGTTAGATTTGCAGATTTCTGGGCCCCACCCTAGAACCTCCAGAAAGGTGTGAGGATTGGGGTGCAGAGAGGGGCCTGGTAATCTGCATATCCAACAAGCTCCCCAGGTGATCCCAAAGCATGAGTTTGTGTGGCCCACACAGCCCCTAAGAGCCCTCTACCTTCACTCCCCAGCAGTGACCGGGCGTGCCTACGGGTAGGACACCTACGTGANTGCTTTCAGTCTTTTTATGGATGAGGGAACTAAGACTCAGAAAGAACACCTAACCTGCCCTGGCTCACACAGCCAGTAGAAGGACAATAAAAGGATCTGGGAACACCATGAAGTGCTGAGGCCGGCCCCCACCAGCTTGCCAGAGCTAGTGATGCCCATCTCTTCTCTACATTCAGTGAGATCAGCTTGGTAGCTTGAAATCTGCCTTGGTGGGAGTATCTACACTATAGACATTAGCAAATGATACAAATCAGGGCTCCCCACCCCTACCTCCTCAACTGGTAGTTAAACATTAACAGTGTACAGCTTTTGATGTATGATGCTAAGTCTTGTGTTTTATCTGTTGTGTGTCTCTTTCTTAACTACCAAAGAGGTGTCTTTAGCGCAGTGGTGAACATGATGGTTTTGCTTTTGACCATTTCCACACGAACTCAATGTTTGCTATGGTCCCCTAAACCATTTCCAAAGACAGGCAGGTCGCCTGAGACTCTTCAGCGTACCCTCTAACTCTGCCTTTTGACAACCGCATAAACACCGCCAAAGTTTGACACCCATCCCCACTGTGTTCACGGCTCCTTCCAGTTTCCAGGAACCATTTGAAACAAA